TTCCTAAAATTCGATTGACATTGCTTTAATAAGACGAATAGGAGGTCTAATTTCCATATGATTCCGCAACTGATGACGATTGATTGGTTCCGAGTGAGGTTCAATAGTTTTTTTTTCTCTTCTATAACACCCATTCGTGCAGCAGGCTTAGATTCAGATTCTTCTAGTTAATAGAAGTTATAATAATAATAATAATAAATATCTTTATTCATCACAATCAATTAAGCATACATTGAATTATCAGAAAAAGATTCATGATGAAATGGTGAAGTGTCAGCTTAAGCTGTTTTCAAACTTTGCCAGAAGAGAAATAAAAGAAAGAAAAATTAAAAGAAGAAAAAAAAAACAAACCCAACTTGATTAATATAAATACATGTGAGTATATACTACATCGTGGTTATTATTGTAAAAATCAGTAAGCCGAGAAAGGTGGAACATATCAGTAGCAATCAGTTATTCGTGCAGTTTCTGAAATAAAGCTCTTTCAGTTTTTTTTTTTTAAGTTGAATAATGTATAATGACGGAAATTTGAATTCAGATTATTATACAACTTACAAGCACGATAGGAGAAGCTGCGGGTGAAATATGCCGTGGAATGCTTAGGTACGATGGGTAGGTCTCTTTTTCTGGTGTTCACTCTATTACTTTCTGATATCACTAATTTTTGGTTCAAATATATAGGGGTTCCTGTTTTTAGAACCTTGTGTATGAAGCAGAGAGAATGTAAGTCATTTGTCCTATCTAACTGCAACCAACCGATTTCGTGAGTGTGACTGCTAACCCTGTCAAACTTGCGCAATCCTGTGCAAAAACGAACACAAGAATTTTGTATCATTTGAAGTTTGTTCGCGTCAGAGGCAAGTAAAGCAGGGCCATAAACAGAATCGCAATGCGCAATCTTGGAAAAAATTAGAGTTTCGCAAAGTTGTATTTTGGTCGATTTAGGTAGAATGCCGCGCTGAGAAGATAATTTCTTGAGAGTACCGTAGGAAGTTTTACATAAAGAGCGAACATGTTTACTGAACCTCAAATCCGAGTCAAACCACAACCCAAGATTTTTGCATTCATCGGTAGCAGCTCATTATTCATGCAGATGTTCATCATTTGTGAGGCTGCTAATCTCTTACTCTTGGGGCCCAAAAAGATGACAGAAGATTTATTGACATTCAAGTTCAAGTTATGCGCAACAGAGATATCGAAAAGTGAATTCAAGTCGGTGTTAATTCATCTACGTTTTCCGAATACCCTTCTATAGATGGACATTCCATGGACCACATGAATCCGCATAAATGAGTTCACCATATTTTTCGTCAACAGACACTGACTCCTCGATGAATTGAAGGACATTTCTTCATCTAGAGCTGAGGTTACAGAAAATAGATTTTTTCGAGCATTCGGTACATACAGCACGTTTTCCATGCACGGCATCCACTTTCGATCAATTTCAGACTCAAAGAGAACTACAACTTTTCCGATGGCATCTATGTTTGATTCATTCCCAACATGGATTTTCACAAGTACACTGGATTCTTCAAACGTTGCAAACCATTTCCTGTTATATGTGACATGATCTGTTGTACCAGAATCAACAATCCATATCTCATCATCAACTTCAGCATTCAAAACTTCTGTGAAAAAAGCTCAATCGTCACAGTTTGCAGTGGATAATGAGTTTGTCTCATTCTGTCCATTCCGTTCCTTGTTCGTTGGACAATTCTTACGAAAATGACCTCCCTCTCTATAGCTCTAGCATTTGAACTTGGTTGAGTTTTTCTCCTTCTTTTCAGTAGTCACAGTTGTTTTATTAGAATTCCTAGCACCACCAAGTTGAATATTTGCTCTTGCAGACATTAGCGCAACTAGTTCTCCTTGTATTTCCACTAGTTGCTTTCGACGCTCTTCATCAGTTGTTAAGACACCTATTAACGTTTCAAATGTATGCTGATCTTTAGGTCTTGTCCACCACGCCTGTTGAAGACTTTTATATTCATCTGGTAACGTATCCAATAATTTGACTACCAATGATAGTTCATCTGGTTTCACATTCAACTGTTGCATACGTAAAACCAACACTTCAAATTTGGCTATATGGGTTACCATATCATCAGTTGAATGCTTTCTAAAACTGAAGAATTCCGCTTGAACTGTATAAGCAGCCTGTTTACTTTGCTGCTCAAAACAGAATACAGCTTGGACCACATATCAGCAGCTGTTTCGCAAGCAACCAGAAGAGCCATGACTTTTGAATCTGAGAACCTGATGAAAAATTGGCTTGCTGCACGATCTTCTTTGTCCCATGACTTCAAATTTGCCTGATAATTGTCGACTCCTTCAGCAGCAGCAGCATTTCCTGCTAATGGATTCGGTTTTTGCGATATTCCCATTACGGACTCTGTATGCTCCTTCGGTTCCACGCAGTATATTCTTTACTGCGAACTTCCCGATGGTCCGGTTTTCAGCACTCCTCAGTTTCTTGATTATGTGATATTCCATGCTCATATAGATGTTGTGAATTCCAGGATCCAAATCAGTACTATGATCAACATCCTTATATACAACAAAGCACTATTACTCCAGTTTCGAGGAGCCACGCTCTGCTGCCATGTTGATGTAATGTAGGTGCTAACACACATCAGTATGATTATAAGAATCTTTCATTATAAAACGAACACGTTGACACACACTTTTTTTATTTTTTTTATTCGGAAGTGCTCGCAAAAGGTTGGACCTATAATCCCGTGGTGGAACTGCGAGCACTAAGGAGGGACAAATATCGATGAATCCTCCTCTTGAAGGTAAATAAATTGTAGTTCGCTGAAAATACATCTGTGGGTGAAGAATTCCACAGTGAAGATGTCCTACAAAAGAAGGAGTTCTTGAAATATGTCTAGGTGTTTCAATTTTGACTGCATATTGGTGTGAGACTTGAGCCAGCCGTGTTTGGCGAAAAAAGGTCTTTCCAGGGGGGACAGCTGATGGCAATTCAACAGAGCATCGTCCATGATAGTAGCGATAGAAAACTGATAGGTCTGCAACGTCTCTCCGATGTTGTAAAGTTTTCAGTGATCTTGTCAGAGTTGGGTCATTGATGAGCCTGGTGACTCTTCTTTGAACCGACTCCAGCAACCTCAGGAAGTGTTTTGGAGCTGATCCCCAGACGTGCGAACAGTACTCAAAGGGTGGTCGAATCTGGGCTTTGTAGAGTGTCAGAAGCTGTTGTGAGGTGAAATACTTCTTCGCGCGGAAGAGGAATCCCAGCTTTTGGGAGGCAGCTCTGGCTATATTGGCAACATGGTCATGCCAAGATAAACTGTCAGATACCGTGATGCCGAGCATATATTACAATTACATCAGTAGAAAAACGAAGATATAGAAGGTGATCTGATACTTTTGAATGTTTTTCTTCAACAGGTATTTTAATGTAAATTGTGAAAACCTCCCATATTATCAATAGAGACGGAAAATGTATTCAAAAAACGAAAAAGTCGATATGTTGGTAATGTGCAATTTTAATCAACACACAAATGAAGAAGAAAAATTATTGATGCAATCGATTAACTGTCAAACACATAAAACATTTTGTTTAGGTACACCGCCTACTAAGTGAAATAATTATGAAAAAATAGACTGATAGCCCTGTGGATTTATTAAATGGGAAGATCATGTGATAGGTACATGACGAAAATAAAAGACAGATAGTTTCTGTACGAGTAGCTGAATTCGAAAAAATATGTTCCTATCTTAGATTCCTCAATATCATGAGTTATTTTCGGAGGTTCTCATCTTGACTCAAACAAGCTATTGACAACCTGCAGACATTGATCAGAATATCAAAACATTTTGAATAATATCGGTTTACCAATGATCTTTAAATTCCAAAGCCTACCAAGTGTCGATATATCATCGAATTCATGTCACAGCCAACTTATTCTTTTTGAATAAAAAGCAATTCAACAGCGAATTAAGAAATAAATGCCACTTTGTGATACATGGTTGGATAGAGAATTTCAAGACGAAAAAGATCGACTGAAGAAATGTACAGACGGGTGACATTTAAAAAAAAAGTTGGGGTCACTTCCGGTCAAACAGGTGATTTATAAAAATTGTCGTTGAGTTCGTAAAGTGCGCTACCATTTATTATATACCCCCTGTGAATTTCAAAATTTTATCTCTTCAAATAAAAAAACTACAGGCTGCTAAAATTGATATTTCTCAAATATAAACATTATACATAACAAGATTATATTATGAGAAACTATAGCTTTGAATTTCTAGTGAACATATGATACATGTGATATTTGTGATAATTCGTGTTGTTCTAAATCATTTTGATCTATTTTCCTTATCTGAAAAATGAATATCTTATGGACGTCCATAGGTGATCCGCATCAGGATATCCATTTGATATTTGCTGATGGATATCCTATGAATATCCATTTCTTTTCTCAGGATATCCCCACCTAGATTGGACTCGAAACGGATATCCATAGGATATTTTATGCTATCTGGGTAGTTTAAGTTGGAGAGCGGCTGCGAATTGATAAATGAGTAGAAGGTGTTTTTTGACTTATATCAGGAAGAGACGTAGTTATTGTTATTCAGTATCTCGTATTGTAGAATGATCGAAGTGTTCGTATTTTGATGAATTGTTTCAAATTTTCAACTGAGTGTTTGCGGAAAGCCGAACCCGGACATTTATTGTATCAATATCATGGAAATTCCAAAAATCCATCATCGGGTTTCAAATTGAGGGTGTTGGCGTCATAATGCGCATACACTGCAAAATCTGAAAATCCTACCTGTAAAATACTTCCCATTTTATCTATACCTCTAATAATAAGATGAATAAATTGAATATTCCGATGTCGTTCTGGTTTAGAATTTCCATTTTCAGTGGAAGACCTGACAGAAGCAGAGTTACATTCATTAAATGAATGTTGTATCTATTCAAAATGAATGAATATCTGAAATCAACCAATAATTGAAACGTTTTCTTCCAGACAAGAGATCATAATTGGGCAATTTATGTAAATCCTGTGGGAGTAGATGCTACAGTCAAAACTTTGGCCACAAGATGTGTTGCAGGAGGTTACGTCTGGAATCCATTCTTCACACAACTGGCTGATCCTCTCAATGTAAGTGATCGGAACAGCAAATAGCGAATATTAGATAAGTCACATGCTCATTATGATACGAACACGACAACCAAAGGAAGTTATTTCAAATAATGGATGAAGTATAGGTGGCATACATCCACAGCAGGGTGTCTGAAAACCTTTCAGTGTGTCATTTTATCAACCCAGACAAACTGTATTGAACAACAGCTTCTTGTAATAGTTGTTATATAATTTCTTTATGCGTGCTGGATTCTCATCTGTATATAGTTATCGACAAAATTTCCTGGTGATATATTCGTAAAACTCCTCATTTTTTGGTTATCATAACGAAACATTTCAATCCTAATGAGTTATGTCTTTATATTATTGGACGTATACATTTTCCTGCTCTAAATTCTTTCACATGTATCCTTGCTAGGAAAAACCTCCACTGTTTTACCCAGAGGCCAATCAAGTCTATGTATATCTTTCACTTTCAGTTTATATCATCTTTTGCTCCGGTTTCATGAAAAGCGTACTGAAATATCCGATTCGAAATCTTATTTTCAGATGTTCTCTCAGGTTTTGTAGATATTGGAAATGTAATTTCATGAAAGCAGGGGTCAGAGGACTCAAATCATTGTTGTCTTCGGATACATAAGTATACAGGGTGATTCATGAGGAGATTCACATACAGAACATGGCCGGCTCAAGTGAATGCAAACAAGACAAAATTGATAATGGGAATTTAAGTGTGCGAAAAATGTGGTTTCCTTCGAAATAGGTTTGGTCGTTGAGACAGTCGATATTTGGGTTATTGATACATCTTTACAACTTTGAATTTCTAAAATTTCCGGAATGTTGAGCCGTGGACGTTCATTGCAAATGTGGATAATCTCCATATCGGAGTTAACATCAAAAGAACGACTGTAATCAATAATATGATTTGCAAAGGAAGATGTAGTGTTATGATTATCTGAGATGAGAAATTTGTGGATGAGTCTGTTATGTTCCGAGGCGCGGGTTTCAAAACTTTCACCAGCTTTACCTATATAAGAAGAATTACAATCATCACAATTCTATCTGTACACACCTGACTTTTTTGTTTGAGGAATCAACAAGTAGATGTTTGAGATCGAAGGAAGTTTTATAATATAATAAACAAATTTCTGATAATTTTTGAAATTTGAACCGACTAATTACCGAAAAAATGTAAGAATTTTTAAACTGGAGGATTATAGTAGGTTGACTCAGAGTCACATGAAAGTTTGCCTAAATCTAGTATAAGATTTGAAATGAATCTTCATGATTTGTTCTAAAGGAAAATGATTATTTAAAGCAATATTGTTATTCTCCTGTACTCGCTAGTGGTGATGAAGAAACGCTATGGAAAAAACAATTAAATGAGGCAAATTTGTGTGAAGGTGGATGGTTGGGATTGAAAGGAATCACTATATCTGTGGAAGTAGTTTTTTTATAGTTGAAAAAAAGGGTAAGAATCTATGTTTTTTGAGATGGGTAAAGTCAGGAAATGGTAAAGAATCGTTAACTTCAAATTCACTAGTACAAATATTGGGATGAAGTGAATCAATATAATTCAGTAAATTGAAAACATCAATAGGGAAACCATCGAAAAGTAAAAAACAATCATCCACATATATGTGATAAAAAATTAATTCTGAATTATAATCAGAGGGTTATTTGAAAACTGGTTTTCTGAATTGTTCATGAAGATTTCTGCCAACAAGGGGGAGAGGTTACTACCCATATTGCAAGGCCATTAGTTTGTCTGTAAAATTCATCATTGAATGGGAAAAAGTTCTAGTTCAAAACCAGATTTAACAGATCACCAAAATGTTTATTACATGGTGAGTTGGAACATTGTTCTCAAACAGGAGATTTCTGACTAATATAAGGCAATCTTCAGGGGGGAAACGAATTGATAATATCAAAAGATACTACAGAGTTATCAGGAATGACAATGTCTTCGATTTTATCTGCAAGGTCAATAGAATTTTTGACAGAATGGACATTATTGAAGCCTGTAAGGTCTCTGAGTGAATGGTTTAAGAAATGTGCTAGTTTACAACATGGAGAGTAAATTAACGAAACTACTGGTCTGATGAGAATGTTTAATTTATGAATTTTAGGTAAACCATGTAGTCTGGTCTATTCTAAACAACAATGCTATTGATTGTTGTGGCAGCTAAACCCTAAGAAGGGGTTCATTTTCAAAGTGACAAAAAGTGATGATTTGTACTACGTCAACGGCAAAATTTTTCGTGATTTGGAAGTTGAAATATTGAAATTGAGACCTGCATTTGATAATCCTTCTTCTGTCGGATTGAACTGAGAAGTACTGATGTTCAAATATCTGGAGTGAAAACTATCATTAGAGAATTGAGGGGTTTTAACTTGAGTGTTGCGATTATGAAATTTCAAACAATTTGTTCGAGAAATTTGAATGCATTTTTCAAAGTCTTCAACCCAATCACGTACCACTCTATCAACAATGTTGAATTCAATTGTAGAAATTTTGGAATAGAGAATGGAATAAAGAAATTTCAACTTGATATCAATCTGGTTCAGATTGCTATAGTGATATTTATTCCCTTGCTGAACCCAAATCCTCTAGGCTGCTCTCAGTGTGTTGAAAGCTGTCCTGGAGTTAATATTAGTCTTCAAGGATAATAATATAGACTTTGGAAAAACATCAAAATGTAAGCAACGCTGTAGAAACCTAATCTTCAAGAGCGATTTCATCCTCAGCAGCATATTATCCTGGTACTTTCGGATGATCGTAGCCTGACTGACATTAGATAAGTCATGGAAACCATTCATTCTTCCCAGAGTGGTCCAATTTTTTTCAAAGACAAAAAAAAAACAAAATAACACCAAGTCGGTCGACCAGAAAAATTATATTACACAAAATGTCTTGTGACTAGTTCCGGCTCAAACAACTATCTTCAGACACATCAGTACACAGTACCTCTAGAGATATTCAATTTACAGAGGAACAATAAGTTGTTGAGGAACAAACATACCTACAAGACCATGTGGAAATCACATTCTTCACAGGTAACTGTGAAATGATGTATCTGAATATAGCTGTTTGAGCTGAAACTAGTCACAATACATTTTGTGCATGTAATATAATTTTTGTGGTCGACCAATGTTTTTTCTTCTTTTTTTTCCTTTTAATATCTCGAATGATCGTAGTCGCAAGCACTTTGAGATCTCACTAGTGGCGACTAATGCGAATATCCCAAAATGATCGGCTGAAGGCATTGTATGATAATTTCTGTTTGGGATATCTTTGAGACATCGCTGATCTCATCCTATAGGCGGCGGATATTTGTAGGAGATATAGCGCTCTCGGCGATCTCTCGAAGGAATAATAAAATGCATCACAATGTCTAAGAAGGATATCTTCTTATATCTTCAGGGCCTCTTAGTACTGCCTGGAATGGTTCTACTTTTTTTCAATAACATGATTAGATTTGTATTACATTTGAGGACGCAATTTCGAGTGACTTTGTGATGTTTCTCGACCCTCAAGGCCCCATCGTTTATTAGGAATTACGCATTTCCTTACAGGTCACATTAAATGCTAGTATGCAACTCACTCCAAGTAACTGTTTGCTTTCTAGGATGAACTGTATCGACAAGAGTGCGGCCCGGAAAACCCGCTACGTTGCCACGTCGGTGACCTTTCTGCTCGTCTAGGTACCATCGATATTGGATTGAAACGAAAAGTCTTCAGTGACGCTAATTTCCCACTAGAAGGTGATGTTACTGCTATTGGAAGGTCGATTGTCATAATGGCACCAGGACGGAGAGGTGAAAGATATGCATGTGCCAATATTGAACCAGATTATGATATTATCAAGTATGCTAATATCGAGAAACCACCGAGATTTGTGGTGTAAGTATGAAAGGGAAATACCAACTATAAAGTCTACCTATATGTAGGAATTGAAATATTTGAAACCGTGATGAGACATATGTTTCGACAGTAACATTACTTTCGGAGTAAGTAATAGTAGTGTTTCTGGGGTGGCCGTGCGATAGTTTGGTAAGCTGTCGCAGGTAATAAGTGGGTCTAGTTGTGATTTGTCCAGACTTTTTGAGGTACAGGAGTGTCTACAATGACCAGGAGGTGTTGTCACCGAAGACTTACCTTGTCACCTGCGTCTCCACCTGTCTCACCTGTTACACCTACCTAATTACGATCTACCTTGTCACCTGTGTTCCACCTGTAACACCTCTATTACATCTACTTAATTAAGATTAACCTAATCACGTGTGTATTTCATCTCACTAAATGTCATATAATATTGAACGATACGCAGAAACGTTTGCAGGAATATCTTGATTTGTTTCAAACTCGATGAACTCGTTTGGAAACCAACAATAACAAATCGCGTTCTTCCCATTGTATTAGATGCTTTGACATTTCAGCAGTGGCGCACAGTTGGCTGTAAAAATGAATATACATTAAGTTCCCATGACCTGAAGGCTATTTCTAAACCTCTTCTTATCACATTATACTTGATTGTGGAATTCGCCATAGAAGTTTAGTCAGTTTAATTTTTGGTTTTTCTCCTGCCTTGAAGGATATCGTAGGATTGATATCATTGCTACTTACGAGTTCTTGCCGAATATTCACCAGAAATCCCAATAGATGTTTGAGTGTGAGACAAACGCTAAAATTCCTTTGATCAACAATTTTCGGATGACCGAGACGATTCCAACCAGCTTTGATATATCTAATGCATTCATTATTTTTGCAAGAAATATAGCCCTGCATAGCTGATATGATCCCAGGGTCAAGAACTCGATCCACAACGGAACCACAAATTTTATATCGGATTTCATCGAATAGAAAAGCAATACCATTTTTGATACAGTTCAATGTAGCACTCACATTATCTTCACTGTCCGTTATTCTACCTTCTAGATAAATGTAAATTTGTGATGGTAATGTATAAATATCCTGTGTCTGAATCAAAACACGTATCTCGAATGACTTATTCAGGGTTTTATTTGAATATGGCGGACGAGAGTGATGCATTTCCCAATTCGTTATCGCATTGTCTATCATCACCAATATTCGAAACGTCGAAACTTATGTGTGATGTCTACAGGAACACCTTAGGAGGAAGAGAATTCTTCTTAGACCGGAGTTTGTGTCTAATTTTAGGTTTAACCAGAAGTGGTAGGAAATCTTCGTTTGTGTTACAATAATTTGAAACCAAAAGAAATCAGGAATTGCCGATTCTCAGGTGTTAACTGTTTGATGTCACCTTTCGGACTGATACTTTCAATTGATGAATTCGTGGACAGCAATGATATTTCATTATCAGAATGGCTTGCTTTACCCATTGTTGATGACGCTAAAAAACAAATGGTTGAAGAGATCCACAAACCAACAAGAATCAATTTCAAAAGACTTGAGGTCATTATTAATGGACTCAATGATCTTTTCCAGGCTGATTTCGTGGAAATGATACCTAATGCCAGTGGAAACCAGGATTACAAATTTATATAAGTTGTGATAAATTGCTTCTCAAACTTAGTATAGAAGTAGGTGAAGCCATGGGAATCATTCTCAAAGAGCAGTGTCCTGACAATCTACGAACAGATCAAGGAAATTATTTCTTCAATAAGGAATTGTTTCTGGGATTCATGAAGAGATATGGTGTTCATCATTACAAAACGTTCAGCGAGAAGAAGGCATCGATTGTAGAGCGAGTCAACCGCACATTGAAAAATTTAATGTGGACAGGATTCAATTTACAAGAAAACTATAAACAGGGGGAATTGTTGAAGAAAACCAAGTTACGAAAAGGAAAAATGCTACTGCAAACCGCATATAACCGTAAACCGAGTCGAAATTGTAGTTTGAAATGTATTTGATATCGCTGATTATGTATATCTTGATCTTGCGTTCGCGGAGATTTCGATGAAAAATATATTACTCCAATTGGTCTACTGATTAACCTACTTATTGAAAGATGATTATAACAAGGATATTCTAGGACGGTTCTATAACGAGCATTACAAAAAGTAAGATATATCCCAGATCTATATATCTCGTAGAGACGATGTAAAAAAGAGGAAAGGGTCAGGTGTTTGTCAAATGGCAAGCATAATAGCTGGATACACGAAAATGATATCGCATGATGTTGCGCAACGGAGGCACTATATGAGAGGCTCATCACGCCGGATAATTTGAATCCCTTTTCAATTGCCACTTTCAGCAATACTACCTACTTTCAAATGATGTTGATATTTGCCGTACAAGGTTTCCAGTATGGAATAGATAACTTTTTGTGCTGGGAAATGGCCATTTCGAATATGGACAATGGTGTGTGGCAACATCGATTCATCACTTTACCACTTGACATGTCACATCATAATTCAACTATCTTCAAACATATGGAATGGTCTACTAAACACTCGCATGGATTGGAATGGATTGATAAGAAATCAGCTATTACAACATATGGTATGAACAAGTAACTCAATTCATCTAGAAATGCACTGGCTGTTACGAATTAAGGAGGTGAAATTCTAGTGGAGAAGTTGGAAAAGAAGATATGATTGAAGAGACTGCTGAGGAAGAACAATATCATCGATTTACGTGAAGAAAGGTGCCCAGCAATTGAGGACTTGAAGTTATTTTCGAGATCAAATCATTGCAGCAAACATTTATATAGTAATTCTCATTGTGCCTTAGAAAATGTCTAATATTTATGGTTCTGGTAGACTCTGATGAATTGCTTCAAAATAAATGACAACATTCACGATTTAGATTATTTATTGATTCGATATATACAACTAACTTCCACCAACAACGAATCTAATTATTTGACAACTACATCAAGTACACATGACAACAATGAGTAGAAACGAAAAAAAATCAGTCAATGATCTCACTACGAAATAAATTCTGTTTCATGCCATAGTTGTAAATATTTGATGTATTCTTAATAAAATCGGACAAGAGCAGGGCATGTGAAGGTCCAAAAATCTACAATATAATAATAATAATAATAATAATAATAATACGTCTTTATTCATCATTTGCAGGACAACAATAAACAAAATAACAAAATATTTTACACAATCAGACACAAACTGCAATGACGAAAAGGCGAAGTATCAGCATATAGCTGTTTTTCAACTCAACCCGAAAAAAATGAACTTAAGGAAACAATTAAATTTTTTGATAAATATAGTGAAAACGATAAAATAAAAAATGAGCAGAAGGTAATGTAGTTCGTTACATGTACAGAAGAGAATCAAGATGACATGGCCAGATTTCATTGTGCAAGAACCTAACTAACAGTAGAAATGATAAGCTTCAATCTTTTCTTGAAGTTACTGAGAGTGTAAGATCTAAATTCTCTGGGCAGTGTATTATAACATCTACTTGCGTTATATGAAAAACTACGTTTGAACATTGTCGTTTTGTGTTTTGGAATGACAAGTGTAGATCTATTGCGACTGGATGATTGATTATTGATTTGTGAAAATGTTTTCAGTCGTTTGTGAAGGTATTCAGGTTTACCTGTGGTCAAGACTTTATGCACTTGAGTCAGCAGATGCAGATGTCTCAATTGTTCTAACCTCAACCAACCTGAAGTAACCATTTTAGCTGATATGTGGTCGAATTTCCGTATTCCATAAGAAAATCGCACGCAGGAGTTTTGAATACGTTGGAGGCGGTGGGAGTCTGTAGCTAATAGTGCTGGACCGTAAATACTGTCACAGTAAGATAACTTAGAAAAAATAAGAGACTCGCAAAGTTTGAGTTTGAGATTAGTGGATAGAATATCTCTATTTGGATACAACTGCCTTAAGACGTTGAATGATGATTGACATAAATAACTCACATGTTTCTTGAATCTCAGATCTGTGTCCATCCAAAGACCAAGGTTCTTGCATTCATTCACAATAGGAACAGTATGATCACCTATGTTGATTTTCAGATCAGTTGCAGACTCTCTTACTTTTTTAGAGCCAAATAGCATCACCATAGATTTCCTAGGGTTGAGCTTCAGGTTGTGTGCACATGAAATGTCAAACAGAGAATTCAAATCTTTATTTATAGAGTTTTGTGACTCCTGCAAATTAGAAGGCGTGAATGAAAGATAAATCTGCGTGTCATCAGCATAGTGGTGTACTGTACAGTTACTGATGAATTTATTCAAGTCTGATATATACAAAGAGAATAGAAGCGGACCTAAGATAGATCCTTGAGGTACCCCGAATGTAACAGATGCGGCCTCAGACACCTCTCCATCTAAAATGACTCTTTGTGTTCGATTGGTTAGGTAATTGGATATGAGATTGACAGCTTCAGGAGCGAATCCGAAGGAACTGAGTTTTTTACACAGTAATTTGTGATCAAGGGTGTCAAATGCCTTACTGAAATCCAAGAGAACCAAACAAGTGATATTACCAAGGTCCCCCGCCCGAAAAATGTCATCAGTAATTGAAAGGAGAGCAGTAGTAGTGCTATGTTGAGATCGAAATCCTGACTGAACTGATGTGATGATCTTTTGTTGTTCTATAAAATCATTCATTTGATCTTTCAATACCATTTCTAATGCTTTGGATAGAGAAGGTAAGATGCTTATAGGTCTGAGGTCTGTGAAATCAGAGGGTTTGTTACATTTCGCCAGAGGTATCACTAGAGCTTGTTTCCATATAGAAGGGAATATACCAGTAGAGATGATAGAATTGAAAATGAAGGTAATGTGATCCAGTAGTTGTTCTTCAACAAGTAATATCATTTTGATAGAAATGTAGTCAGATCCGACGGCATTGCTTTTGATTCGAAGTATATACTTCCTGAGTAATTCAGCGGAGATAGGTAGAAAGAATATCATTCAAGTCCCTACATCTGTGCTCTGTACTACTTGCAGTATATACCCATCATCATTATTCCTCTCCACGTCATTCATGCCAATTTTCTCTTCCTGTTGTTGCTGTTTTCATTGTCCACTGGCCTGCAAGAATATACGTTATTCAACCTGTTGCGATTCACCTCCATAGGCAGCATCAGGGAATTCGTATACTTGTGAATCTTCCTTAGGGTTTGGTGGAAGTGGTTGTCTTGAAGTTGTTATTGATGTCTTCAGTTTCTTGATTCGTTCTCTGGTGGCAGCGCTGCATCATCTCCAATGGCCACCGGAAAGTTGAATCTTTATATCTCTATATCTCGCCCTAGTCCACTTGATTAGGAGATTATCGAAATCTTTTGTGAAGTTATCATCTTTGGACTGTATTTTGAATAAATTAGAATACTATCCTCAAAACTTCTTTACTATGTCCTTCACTCCATATCTGGAAAAAACAACATAATTTCAATGCCTTTTAATTTAATGCCTAGCAAACCAGTCATGTGATTGAAAATAATAATCACAAAGAGAGAGAAACTCAAAGTCATTACCACATACTAGTTCATAAAATGAACGACAATGGTAGATAACGAGAGAAAAACAACTACTTTCCTGGCTATATGCCACGCAGAACATTGCATTACATCCTCCCGAAATCTATGCGATAGTTCGTATAAACGAATAATGCATGTAATGCAATGTTCTGCGTGGCATATAGCCAGGAAAGTAGTTGTTTTTCTCTCGTTATCTACCATTGTCGTTCATTTTATGAACTAGTATGTGGTAATGACTTTGAGTTTCTCTCTCTTTGTGACCATTGCATTCCACTTTGCGTATTTGGCTTTTTCCCTAGTTGAAAATAATAATGTAATATAAAGGAAATGATTATAATGATATGAAAACTCACTCGAATAACTGCTTCATCACCACCATCGCCATATCAATTGGAAACAATTTCCTGTTTTCTACATTTACGATAAGGGTTGTGGGGATGCCTGCCATCTTAACTCATAACATAACTATTTGTTGATTTTGGTAATGAAATCAGAAAGTTTAATCGTATTTATACTCATTGCAGACCTCTCAATTAGTGGAAAATATAACCTTTCTCCGATAGTCTCAGAGGTTGTTTCAAAGTATAACATTTTAATCAGTTCACATGTGTGTATAATTTTTTCGAAAGTACGATATGAGCATAATTAACTTCTCGTAGTTGTTATAGAAGCGGAAATTCTTATCATCCTCGATAACTGGAATCATTTTTATTAAACATTCAATGTTGAGTAAATGCACATGTGTGCATTTTTTTGCTAAAAATCTATTATCATTGATAATTCCAGAATGGGTGAGAAAATAAACTTCTATGTGTGCACCATACTGAATACTTCCTAGATTCTTTTTCCATCTCAGACTGATCATACGCATCGGATAGATCAATTTTGGTAAACTCTTCACCTTTTTGAAGTTTACCAAACAAGTGTGATATATCAGGTAATCCGTATGTCACTTTTTCAAGAAACCTGTTAATTTTTACCTTGTAATCACCACATACACAGTCTATTGAGCTCGTCCTCCAATGCTTGTTGTATTCAATTTTCACAATACTCATATTTGCATGGGCTGATGAGAACCCACACACAGTTTTTGAATCAAATCACCAAGAAAAATTCTCTATCAATGTATGGGCAGGAATAATCGATAACTATTTGATAGGTCCCTACGTACTGCCTAATCGTTTAAATGGTGAGAGTTATTTACATTTTTGACAACATGTTCTGAGAGATCTCATGGATGATGTACCATATTTACTTAGGTCTGAGATGTGGTTTATGCACGATGGGGCACCGCCACATTTTTGTCGCGCAGTTAGAGAATATTTGAATAATAATTATCCGGAGAGATGGATTGGACGTGGAGGACCGGTGTCTTGGCCTTCTCGTTCACCAGACCTGAATCCCCTCGACTCTTTTTATGGGGTTATTTGAAATTTTTGGTATATGAAGTTCCTGTCGAGAACGTTGCGGAACTCGAGCAGCGTGTGAGGAATGCTTATATCATTTTTTTCCATTTCTTCAAACGATTTATGAGATCAAATTACCAACTGGTACAGAATTTCATGATTCTAGGATCAATGGTAACAAAGATAATTGGAGAAAACTGCAGTTAGGGACCAACCTTCAAAGGGCTGTAGCGCCCTTAGGAAGAATTTTCGGACACCTGTTGATAGGAACATTTTTTCTTATTTTTATCTGTAGATCGACCTCCCGGAGTATACGAACGTTATTCTGGGACACCCTGTATGGACCTTCCAGGGGCGGATCAAGGGGGGGGCACCGGGGGCACGTGCCCCCCCCCAAGGCAATTTTTGTATGAGTATTCCACTCCACCCTTTGAACAATTATATTATTATTTTGATATGAAAGTAGATGCGTCACCTCTTTGAAACATTTAAAACTCTTACAATAATATGATTAGAAGGTTTAGGGCAGGGCGAAAAACTCACGCTCTGGTCTACGCATCAGTGGGCACGCGGAGTAAACAGTACAGCTTGGCAAATGTAACAGTTAGATTTGTCAAGCTGTACCTATATCTTTGGCCCTCGCTGGAACTGCACCCCGCTCGCAACAAGTCGCAACCAGTGAATCAGCTGAGACAGTTAGGTTAGTTGAGCTTGATCGTTGACCGTTGAGTGAACTGTTTTTTAGCTGTGCATTTAGCTGTTGTTATTCTACACGTTTTGCAATGAAGCGTCAGCAAGGAATAGAATCCTTCTTTTTGAAAAAGGCTAAGGTAAGTCACTGCAGTACTATACAGTAGCTCTAACCTTGCCTCAGTATTACATGTCACATTGGTTTTGAAACGCATAAAGGTGGAACTAATCAATAGTTATCAAACAAAATAATTAGAAAAATGGTTCGGAAAGAATAATTTTGTTCAAGCTCGTTCATAAATAAAAGAATAATTTTTAAAAAACAATCATATTTATTTTAAATGTAAAAAACAGTTTTTTTTTTTAATTTTGCCACTTATTCTATTGAAAGAAAGCCTTGGGACTGAAAAGGCTTTGTTGAAAAATTATGATTAAGGCTGATTGGTTTTTACCTTTTTCAGGTTGAAAGTACTGTGAATGAAGTATTGTCAAGCCAAAAGTTAGAAGAACTACCAGTGCCTTCCACATCGGCAGATGCGAGCTTAAAGTCGCAAAGTGATCTTAACAAAACTGTAAATAAAAGTACATCTATGACGGATAACATTGAATATCAAATTCCTGCTCGTGATTTTAGTAAGTTACTCAACAAAAATGCTACAGTAATGAGTGACAATGAACGTTTGGAGTGGCTAACAAACCCTTGGACTCCATCACCAGAGTTTAAGTTTCCGCTGAACACTGAAGGGAAGGAAAAGAGGTCTTTTCAAGCAAAGTGGATGAAGGAATACCCGTGGCTGGTTTACAGTAAAAAACTAAATGGTGGGCTGTGCAAGGCTTGCATTCTTTTTGGGCGAGGGGAAGGAGGAAAGAGTGATGGAAAGCTTGGAAAATTGGTACTTGAACCTTTGAATACTTTCAAAAAAGCAAAAGAAATCTTAAAACATCACGATGAAGCCAAGTTTCACAAAAACAATGTAAAAGCCAGCAAGCATTTCTCATTAGTGATGGAAGGAACAGAAGATGACATTGTTTCTCGAATGAACGCGGCTCAAAAAGCTGTAATAGAAGAAAATAAGAAAAAGTTAATACCTATCATTAAAACTGTTATGCTGTGTGGAATTCAAAACATTCCATTACGTGGCCACAGGGATGACGGGAAGCTGTTCGATGAAATAAACAAAGACAAATCAGCCGAAGGAAACTTTAGAGCTCTATTGAAGTTTAGAATTGATGCCGGAGATAAAGAGCTTCAATCTCATGTAGAGTCTTGTGGGAAAAATGCATCCTATGTAAGCAAGACTATTCAAAATGAACTAATTCAGTGCTGTGGTGAAGTCATTGTAAAAAAAATTGTTTCAAAGATAAAAACCGCTAAATATTTTACTATTATTGCCGACGAAACTACAGATATGTCAACGAAAGAGCAATTGTCAATTTGTGTAAGATATTTTGATAAATCAACATTCGAAATCAAAGAGGATTTTATTATGTTCATTGATGTTGTTGATTTGTCTGGTGAAAATATTGCTAGCAAAATATTAGAAGCTTTGAAGAACCTGGATATAGACATTTCTGACTGCAGAGGTCAAGCCTATGATGGAGGTTCAAACATGAGCGGAAAGTTTCAAGGAGCTCAAGCAAGAATCATGAAACTGCAGCCCCTCGCAGCCTATAGTCATTGCGCTAACCATAGGCTTAACTTAGTCATAAGTAAGGCTTGCACAATCCCTTCAATAAGAAACGCAATCGGGGTAGTCTCATCGGTAGCCAACTTCTTTAGGGAGTCTGCCAAAAGATTGTATGCACTGGAAGATGAAATGAACGAGGATCTGAAGAAGGGGAAGCACGCTGTCAAGAAGATGTGTGAGACAAGATGGATAGAGCGTCACGACGCTGTGTTAACATTTTTGGACTCTTTACTTTCTTTGCACACTGTTTTGCAGACCATGGCTAATACAAATGAAGTAGCTGGAACTAAAGCGTTTTCCCTCCTACATAGCATTGTTTCGACAGAATTTATTGTAAGCTTAGTAGTTTTAGAAGCTGTTATGAATTTGACACTACCACTGGCTAGAAAACTTCAAGCCGAGTACATAGACGTACTCAAAGCTATGGTTTTGGTCGATGCTACTCTTAAAAGCATTGAAGAGCAAAGGACCAAAAGCAAGGAGTGTTTCAAAAAACTTTTTGACAAAGCCTGCAACCTTGCCTTGAAAATGGGAACCGAACTGAAAAAACCTAGAATAGTTGGCATCCAACGAAATAGGTCAAATGTTGAAGCAGAGACAACAGAGGAATACTTCCGACTGTCAATTTTTCTACCATTTTTGGACTTTCTTATCAGTGAAATTAATACCAGATTTCCAAAAGCTCAAATGACCCACATTGGAAAATGGAAAATTACAGATGATTCTGCCACCACTGGGGAAATTTAAAGAAAACTATGAAGATTCAGTTTTAGAAGGAGCCAAACTATATGAGAATGATCTGCCATTCTTTAATGCTTTAAAGGGCGAGCTAAGTACTTGGAAGCACATGTGGGGAGATAGTTCTGAAAAAATTCCCTAAACACCCAGCCGAAGCAATCAAACACTCACCAGATCTACCAAACCTAACTGTTCTGCTTCAAATAATCTGCACTCTACCTGTGACCACGAGTACGGCTGAGCGGTCGTTTTCGGCACTCCGAAGGTTAAAAACCTATTTAAGAACAACAATGACAGAAGATCGCCTCAATGGACTTGCAAGTTTGCACATCCACCAGGACATAGCTCGCAGTGTTCCACCAGAAGAGGTTTTAAATATATTTGCCCAAAAACACAATCGCAAGTTGGCTTTTGCATTGGATTGAAAAGATAGTTTTGTACATTTGACTATACAATTTGTAAACACAAAAATTAATGTAAAATGGAAGTTTTTTCCTTTTCCTTTTAGATGTATTTTGGAAAGAATAAATAAAATATAGTATATTCAATTAAATAATGTTGAAAATTAATATTTTTTTACAAAAACAAAATTTTTTTGAGTACATTAAATGTGAAATTATCTCCTAAACAATGTTCAAAAAGTGTTTCTTTTCTGGTGATCAAATTTTCAAAATTTTTCCGGGGGTGTGCCGCCAGACCCTCCGGATGTGCCCCCCCCCAAACCAAAATCCTGGATCCGCCCCTGGGACCTTCAACACTGTTAAATCAGTTTGCAAATTTAATTCTCTGAAATCGTTTCTATACATGGATTCACTAATGCAAGAAACACTAGCACAGCAGTCTGCTCCCAACCTGTGCTAAACAGCAATCAAATATATTCAACGCATAGTCATGTTGATTGTCACTGGTTTTGAAGATCGCGAAAATTGTCCCCAAACTATTGTCTACCTGTTCAGTATCAAAATCAATAAAATGTTTTTTTTATCGCTTGGAGCGAACGAAAGGAAATACCTATAATGTTCAAAGAACATCGTGCGTTCCTAGGGAGGATGGGGACAGGAGGTAGGTATTGGAATTTTTTTGAACTTCTGGAGATTGTATGTCGTTGGGATTACTTCCTCAGGCAATGAATTCCAGAGCCTAGCCGTTCTATGGATGAAGGAGTTTTGATAAAGTGCTGTTTGACATTTTTCGGGGTTGACACAAAAGGATGTGCTGACTGGGCTTGTCTAGTTCGTCTGACTGGTATTGCTAGTGAAGAGATGATAGCAGAGATTTCCGAAGAACATTTCCCGTGGAAGTATCGATAGAAAAGTGAAAGGTCGCCGACCTTTCTACGGTGTTCCAATGATGTCAAAGAGTGGGTGAGTGTGGCGTCACCCACCAGGCGAATGGCTCTTCTCTGGATGGAATCTGAGAGCATCAGCGTATGTTCTGGTGCTGAACCCCATATGTGGAAACAGTATTCTAGAAGACGCCGTATCTGCGCTTTGTAAATCATGAGAAGCTGTTGAGTTGTAAAGTAGCTTTTCGCACGGAACAAGAATCCGAGTTTTTGTGAAACAACTCTTGCGATGGATCTGACATGATTATCCCATGAAAGACTGTTGCTGTTTGAAATACCGAGCATAGATATGGTGGGCTTGGTGGGGATGATGGTGCCAGACATTACAATATCGGGCATACTGAGTTCCGCCTTTCTAGAGAAAATACAGGCTTGAGTTTTGGTGGCGTTGAATTCAACTAGGTTGTTGGTTCCCAAAGCTATGATTTCAGCAAGGTCTTCATTGACAGCATTGACCTGCCTGCGCCGTGAGTTCTTAGTTTCCTGGGAAGATATGGGAATTCTGGAAGAGAACGCAGTATATGGAGGGTACTATTATCTGCAGAGCTGTGGGTGGGGCAAGTTGTTACTCCCAACCGATCATTGATATGAAGAAGGAATAATGTTGGTGCCAAAATTGATCCTTATGGAACGCCGGAATTGATGCCAATGGTATCAGACGATACACCGTCCACCACCACGAGAAGCGATCTGCCTGAAAGAAAACTCGATAAGAGATGGCATAGCTGAGGTGGTAAGCCGTATGATGGTAGTTTGTGGAGGAGTCCTTCGTGCCAAACACGGTCGAATGCTTTCGATATGTATAACGCGACAGCTAGAGATTCCTCGTGTTTTTCTAATGGAGCTTACCATAAATGGGTGACGTTGGCAAGTAGATCTCCAGTAGATCTTCGGTGGCGAAAGCCGTATTGTCTATCATTGATGATTCCTGACCTCTCCAGATATTTGGTAAGCTCAATATTGATGGCTTTCTCAATCACTTTGGAGATTACTGATAACAGGGCAATGGGCCTGTAGTTGTTGGACAGGTTCTTGTTCCCTTTTTTTGGGGATTGGTTGGACTCTAGCTGTCTTCCAGCATGATGGAAAAATACCCGACCTGTACGAGACGGTAAACAACTTGCAGAGAATCGGTGTTAACTCTGGTGCACATTTTTTGAGGATAATGGGTGGAATTCTATCTGGACCGTTAGCCTTATTCGTCTCGAGACCAAGCAAAATTCGTCTGATAGTGCGTTGACGGAAGACGATTCCGGGCATTCGACTCTCAACGGGTGGAATGTCTGGCGGCACTTTTCCTTGGGAATCTAAAGTAGAGTTTGCTGCGAACATCTCTGCAAAAATATTTGCTTTCTCCTGCGATGTTGTTGCTAATGTGCCGCCGGATTTGGACAGTGGGGGAAATGAACTATTAGTGAAATTTCTTCCGATCGCTTTAGCAAGGGACCAAAACGAACGGGAGCCATTGGGACAATCTATGAGTTTCGATCTTATCTTGGCATTGTATGTTTCTTTCGAAGCATCTATTGTTTGGCTGCAGTTATTCCTGGTATCAACGTATTCTGCTCTAGTCGCGGTGTTAGGGTTTTTCACTTTGGATCTGCATAATTTACTCAAGTGTCCCCTTCTCTTACTATGATTACAAATGTAACTGGTGGACTTACATTGTCCTTGATGGGTCTTACCACATGAGATACATTCATTGTTTTGTGGTTCACCGTAATTGTTTTGCCTAGGAATTCCTTGATTACCCTGGTTAAAATGTGGTGGTCTGCTCTTCTTCCTTCTTGGATATGGCCATGGCTGCTTCCTGCTTGCCAAGAAGTGTATCTTGCTGAGACATGAACCTCGCGCACTTGGTGGGCTTCTGCTTTCCTCTGCAACCCCAGCTTCACTATGTCCAGGAGTGTCTTGGCAACATCTTCTTCACACAGTTTATCCAACAGCTTACCGCTTCGTAGACCAGATACTTACCCATCTTTATTGTATCTGCCAATCTGTTGGCGAACTGACAAGTTACAGCAAGGCTCTTGATTCTGGCATAAAAATCTCCAAATGATTCTTCACTCTCTTGTTTGGTACTATAGAATATGATTCTTTTTCGCCATACCGAAATATCGGATGAAAATTGCTGGCTTAGCGATACATACAAACAGCTCTGCATAGGTGTTTTCTCGGGTAGATTCGGAAATGACAAGTTTCGAATTATTTTGTATATGCTAGCACCCATCCCATACAGCACCAGTACGTCTCCAAAACGTCCGGCCAAGACGTTTCATACGTACACTTGGGACGTCCATTCAGGACCATGAATACCATGAATACCTGAATAAAAGTAAATTCGCCTTTTCTACTCAGATAGTTGAAAAGAGATCTAGATAGAGTAGAAAAGATCTTATTTTGAATAGAAATTTTTAGAATGTGCTCCTACCGGGGATCGATCCCAGGACCTTTAGATTACCGTATTAAAGTCGTTTATGTCTCTTCATAATGACATGACATTACACATGATCACACACATTAAAAAATATATAAAAGACTGTACATGTTACAAGAAATGTATAGATAAAATTCTCCGAGTGTGACAGAGGTGGCTGATGCTGGCCAAGGAAGTGCTCGTCACAACGGCCTATCTCCTAGCGCTAAGCCCTTATAGGTAATCTCACTGAGGATACCCAATGGGTGGGGGAGTTTTTCAGACGTTATAAGTGGTGAGTGTTGTGTGTGTTTTTGGAGGAAAATAAAACTGAAAAACAAAAACCTCCTTCTCGTTTAGCTCGTCCGAGTGCGACAACGCTCTTCTCCCACTTTCGGCTGTTGGGACGTCGTGGGCATGGGAGCGCACACACACTCAGCCGAGTTCAGTGTCTTTTTGATTTAGATTACTGGAAGGATGCTCTACCTATTACTCTACAGAACACTTATTGATATATCAGTATACAACAAGAGATTATGTGCGAATGTCGATTGACCCTTCACGTTGACATTTTCATAGAATTAGCTGATCACGGCAGAGAATACCTGAATAGATGTTTTAGACTAGGTACGGCCAATCGAAAATGAATCGTGAGAATTGTATTATGTTCATGCAAGGTTTCTACATGAATATAGATATCAGAGATCGAGGGTAGAAATTATATGCAATGATTTCAATTATCATTACACAATTTATTCATTCCCGTCCACAAAGAGTCGATAACGTCCAGAGTTCGACGTAATCAGTACATCAGAATCGTACCTACCTAGTACGTACGAAAATTGACGTTTTCAGTACGTCTTGAGAAGGTCTTGGACGTGCAGACCTGAATCGGCCCTAAAATGGACGTCTCCAGAACGTCGAGTGCTAAAGGGATCAAACTTAGAAGCGTTTCGGTTTTCAATTTGGTTTCTACTTCGTTTACTTTAATAAATGACTCTAACCAGTCGTCCGAGAGAAGATTGTTTTCTTCAATTGCAACAATTACCTATAGGCATTTCGTTGAAAATATTGCGCAAGTTACAAAGCAGTTTCAAGTTTCAACTGTCACTTCTCGATTGTCAAAGTCAACAAATCGCAGCAATCTTCTGCGGCACACTTCCTGTTCTTCTGACTTTACTCCACTGCGTTGATGGATGACACTTCACACAAATGTGAACTTGGACCAGGCGATTCAACACGTGGGAAACCAGAGAGTTTGCAAATTAATAATATCATCGATTATTTATTGCTTGAAAGTCTATAAAAAATCCTTCCTGATATAAAGGGTGTCCGGAAAGGTCATGTCGTGAATGATAGCGCTGATAGAGTGTGCCAAAATAATGTCCGTACTCCATGTTAAAAAGATGTTTTGATTGTGCTTCGTTACGGAGTTATTGACCTTGTATGTTAGAATCTCAAAGATTAAATCCATAAATCCATGTATAACTATCAAACGGCTGCGATATTATCAATGATATTATTATTATATGGGCAGCTAAATAAACTCATACTAATAATAAACTTTCCATATACTAAACGGCTTTTTAGTGATTATGTTCCATTCAGGATGGGACGTTTAATGATAGCATTTTTGACAGAAGTGACAAATTTTACATTTCGCTTCCACCGTTTTATCCCTTTATCTCTTCAATACAAAATGGTATACTTCATTTCAATGGATATCTTATACTGATCTAGAGAAAATCGCATTCAAAAACATATACATCCCAACCGTTTCAAAGGTGATAGAACTACATTCTTGTTATCAATGTATGGATGGGACTAATTGGCAACTGCACAATTATGGATCTTATATCATTAATGGAACTTTGAATGTAAATAATTATCCAACTTCTTTCCAGTCTAGAGTATATCCATTTGAACTCAATGAGTGATCTGTTTGAGATGCGTATCTTATGACTATATGAAATTTTATACTTATTCCCAGTCTCAAGATTGAATAATGAGTGTCGTCATCTTCTCCTGGATAAAGTAACTTAATATATACGGTCATTTTATTATACGGTGGATGGATCGAATCGACATAATAGTATAGCGATCAGATATCCAACGCTGTTTGATTTCTGAACATTCATTGGGCAAATGATGCCTTGTATAGTGGAAATTTGATGAAGAGCACCATTCACTTTGAAACTATGAAATATGATTCACTTCCAAAATCATATTTTCAATCGAAAGATGTCACTTCTAACTGTTCAAATTCAAGTTCAACTTTTTGACATCACAGTAGTCTGAATGGTAATACTCGTCAATCTCCAATATGGATGGGATGTCCTAGGAATGTTCAACTGTAGTCTGTAGGTACTTTTTCCAGCCATTCTCGAAGAAGACAAAGGCACAATAAAACATTGAGGTATCTTGTTGAAATTATAATGAAGTTTGGTGAACTAATGATTTTGTTACTACTAATAAATAAACAGAGATTGACAGCTAACATGACCTCTAACTTCACCAGTGCTATCTTCTTTGAGCATCTCAGATTACCTACTTGTCATTTGAAATATACCGACCAAAATCTCATGATTATCGCAATGCTGTTTTTGTTTGATTTCATTGTTTCATGATAAACTTTGTTGTTCATTCAGGGCGCAATTCATCGAAGACGTGAGAGAAGTCATGGGCATTCCCGAATGGTTTTTAAACGTCGACAGCAGGAAAACGAAATCTCTGCACAATGAAGCATGCGTCCAACTGCTTCTCCACTTTAAAGGACCAATTGCAGGAAAACTCGAACAAGACTTCAATAGGCTGCTTTCTATTGGAAGATTGGAGGCACCGAGTTTGTATGTTCCAGGGTATTTCAACGAGAAGAGAAAGACGAAGATATCGTACAAGTTATGTGGAGTGAAAGATCCAAATGAGAAAGGTAAGTTTCACTATTTCATTCACCATATTCCGAGTTAGAAAAACATCGATGTACTTGCCTGCCATATACCTTCATAAAGTTTCAAGGCAATGAAAATAATTCAAACTATAACATAATGGGCGTGTACACCTTAGTAGAACTTTTAACTCAAACCATGTTTATAATGATCCTTTTATACATAAATAACAATTGACGACATAATTCGATCGAAAAATTAACTGGAATGTTTAATTTTTGGACATAAATAATAGTACCTTCTGAAAACGGACCCTCTTATGACGTAGAAACCTCATCTCGCCATAGTTGAAAGAAAATACCAAACTTCCGACGGAGACTGAGGCAATTGTTTTAGATGTATGACAAACTGACATTTATCATACAGGGCGTGGAAAGAAATTCTGAATTGAGAAAAACCCAATCACGAATCTGCGATTGAAGGTCTATAAAAATAACAAGTTTCCATCGTTCAAGTTTGAACCCCTTGATTGGGTATGAAAGTATTGAAAAGGAATATTCTCAGATATATTATAAACATGAAAAAATGGATACATTTGAATAAATACATTGAGAATTCGCATTCTCTATGTGATGAAATTATTAATTCTTTCTCGGCATATTCAACAGAAAACAACTACTTTCCTGGCTATATGCCACGACGAACATTGAATTATATCAATTGAACATACACGATAGGAATTTGAGCATAAAATGAATATCGTCTGAAATTGAGAATTGACATTCTCTTCCAGAATCGGATGAATACTATGATGAATATAACGATATAAAAAATATATTACTTACCAAATTGGTATGAAAATTGGAATGTATGGGAGAAATATACTAGTATACATACTCTGTTCTTGTTGAGTCGTGAATTTATCAAAAATCATCCGTATCCATGATGTTTGGGATATATGCACATCTCTTTCACATAGGTTAGATGATTTTGATTCGAATAAAATTCATTTCGAGTTTCAAACTCTCCTCAGTAACCTGAAGTCCAGTCATTCCTTCAGCCATTCTTCATTTAATACACAATTTTCACATTTCTATAATAATATAACTAAAACTATAGTGGAACTGACATCTATCTGAGAATGAAAATTTGTTGACTTATCTCCAGTCATGTGGGTGGCAATTGTTTTAGATGTATGACAAACTGACATTTATCATACAGGGCGTGGAAAGAAATTCTGAATTGAGAAAAACCCAATCACGAATCTGTTCAATTGATATAATTCAATGTTCGTCGTGGCATATAGCCAGGAAAGTAGTTGTTTTCTGTTGAATATGCCGAGAAAGAATTAATAATTTCATCACATAGAGAATGCGAATTCTCAATGTATTTATTCAAATGTATCCATTTTTTCATGTTTATAATATATCTGAGAATATTCCTTTTCAATACTTTCATACCCAATCAAGGGGTTCAAACTTGAACGATGGAAACTTGTTATTTTTATAGACCTTCAATCGCAGATTCGTGATTGGGTTTTTCTCAATTCAGAATTTCTTTCCACGCCCTGTATGATAAATGTCAGTTTGTCATACATCTAAAACAATTGCCACCCACATGACTGGAGATAAGTCAACAAATTTTCATTCTCAGATAGATGTCAGTTCCACTATAGTTTTAGTTATATTATTATAGAAATGTGAAAATTGTGTATTAAATGAAGAATGGCTGAAGGAATGACTGGACTTCAGGTTACTGAGGAGAGTTTGAAACTCGAAATGAATTTTATTCGAATCAAAATCATCTAACCTATGTGAAAGAGATGTGCATATATCCCAAACATCATGGATACGGATGATTTTTGATAAATTCACGACTCAACAAGAACAGAGTATGTATACTAGTATATTTCTCCCATACATTCCAATTTTCATACCAATTTGGTAAGTAATATATTTTTTATATCGTTATATTCATCATAGTATTCATCCGATTCTGGAAGAGAATGTCAATTCTCAATTTCAGACGATATTCATTTTATGCTCAAATTCCTATCGTGTATGTTCAATTGATATAATTCAATGTTCGTCGTGGCATATAGCCAGGAAAGTAGTTGTTTTCTGTTGAATATGCCGAGAAAGAATTAATAATTTCATCACATAGAGAATGCGAATTCTCAATGTATTTATTCAAATGTATCCATTTTTTCATGTTTATAATATATCTGAGAATATTCCTTTTCGAGACTGAGGCAACTGATATATTAATTCTTTCAACTGTGATCCCGCGCTAATTCATTCTGTCACAATAAATCATGTATCATTCATCTCTGTCTGGAATAGTCTTGTTTCAGTATTAGTGTTTTGACGTCACATCATCGCCTCGTTTTCAGAGGTCCGAAAAATCGGGGATTTCAATAATTTTTTATAAAACGTAGGGAGCTCACAGCAAGAAACGGTTTGCGGTGGTGAGCTAGTTTGGGTGAGTTCTATCGAATTATGAATTAAATTTTTCTTGTGATATAAGCCCATTATAGATGTTCACTAGTGTCTAAACATCGCACCGCAGCAAGAAATAATACCAGTACTCTTCGAGCGAGCCGTACGGAAAACAAAAACATCATTGAAATAGCGAATCACTATCGGCCATCTCAACAGTAATAAAATTTATATCTGTTGAATATCCAAAAAGAGAGCATGAAAAATCGAAATTCTCTGAAATTGAGAATTGACATCATCTCTCAAATCGAATATGATGTATTATGATATAAGAATATAACTTACCAATATTGGTAATGCAAATTCTCTACTTCAGAAGATTTTCTTTTCAAATTCTTATCGTGTGTGTTCAATAGATGTAATTCGATGTTCGTCGTGGCATGTAGCCAAGAAAGTAGTTGTTTTCTGTTGAATAAACCGAGGAAGAATCAATATTTTCATCACATGGAGAATGCGAATCGAAATCCCGGAACACGTGTCTACGGTTATTTCTTCATGAGGGCAATGTCCAATAATTTCTTCCTTGTCTCTTTACAGTTTCCTCGATATTACTTTCATTTTATTATTTCTTTATATATATATCATTTTTTTGTGTTCATAAATATATTTGAGAATATTCCTTTTCAATACTCTCGCCCAATCAAGGGGTTCAAACTTGAACGATGGAATCTTGTATTTTTATAGACCTCAATCGCAGATTTATGATTAGGTTTTCGCAATTCAGAATTTCACTCCACATCCTGTATGATGAATATCAATTTATCATACATCCAAAAACACATCCAAAACACATTTATAGGTCACCCCGAGTGACCTGTTCGGGATTATTTGCCGCGGTGCGATGTTTCAGCGCTATAATTTGATGTTCGATGGCTCAAAATTCATAATCTTGGATAACACCTCAGTATATCGTAGTGTCACAGCCAGTTGTCGTTGTATCGTTGATAACACATATTACCCTTTGACCTAAACTCAAAACACATGTTTGCACTATTAGCAGAAATATGTGGCAATATGTGGCATATTCATAATGAAAAAAATACTCATGCATTGACCAATTTGGCTATACACAGATCAGTATCTATAATTAATCTTCGGTAGTAGTCCATATTGCTCAAAGTGTAGTGAAATTCTTCAAAGGAAGAAAGGAATGCTCGAGGTCATCTCCACAAATTTTAATGGTGATGTTACACAATCATAAGGGACATGTTTCGGTCTTATAAAAGACCATCTTCAACCAAATTGAACTTATTTGGTTCCAAGGTTTTTTCTCGTTTACATGAGATATTCGTTTTAGAATAGAGGCAGAGACCTATCCCTTGAACCTGAAACGTGTGTGGAGTTCGTACCCAGGGCAGAGCATATAGGTCGTGTTGGTGGATGAATCGACCTGTGTCTCAGTCAGAGCATATATGTCTAGCTTTTCAAATTGAAGGGATCGATGGACATTGATGTTCTTACTCAGACCACGGATGTTACACAGATTTTTCCACGGAGAATGTTCTTCAGAAATCTGTGCTTTCATTCCGATCAATAGCAATATCAGTCAGACGAACTCGAAAAGCCCAGTCACCATATTATTTCTTTGTCAACCTCGAAATATGTCGAACAGCACTTTATCAAAATTCGTTTGTCTATAGAACGGCAAAGTTCTCAAATCCATTGCCCAAGGTTTTTGTAGTTTCTGTACAAATACAATCCATAACGTAGATTTTTTTCTTGATTTCTGATTTCCACTCAAGTAGGCCCATTCATTCGCTTCGAGTAGGTATAGATATCTGAATCTGAAATGAACTGTAATTAGCTTCGAAAAAAATTTGTCGAACAACTCTCTATCTATAACAATATAAATATCAGCAGATGGAGGTGTCTCAACGAGTGAAACTTCATAAGTCTCCAAGATATTTCCAGAATATTTTTGACAACAGTTTTAATTCTGTGGAACCTTATGAGGTAGAGAAGGTAAGTAGGTTACACTGGCAGTCATACCTAGTTCCTATAAGATATATGACTTTTGCATAATCCAGTGATCTCTTACTGGTCCATGTGATGAATTCTGAAAAGTACCTAATTCCCAATCAGCCATCTTGAAGATGTCTTCGAGACATATATTCCAGTCTCTGAGGCGTAATTTTCAATGAACTGAACGTCATTTTTAGGTCTTTTTGGTCCATGTCCATGAATTGATCTTTTACGGAAATATCACATATTTTTCATCGATGTTCACCTGTCTACTAAGTTGGCAACTAGTGCAGCCATGCGAAAATAAAAGGAAAAAAACGACCCCAGCAACCGGTAGACTCAAGCGGTCACCCATTCAAGTAAAAATCGCGCTCGCTATTGTTAATTGACTCTGGTGGTCGGACCATACCTTCTTCTGTCACTCTGTTTGTTCCATTTATCACATATTGCAAGCTTCAACTCAGTTTCACATGTCCTGGTGTTGCAAGTTGAATTTAACCTACTCCCAATTTCCAATAGTTCGATAGATTTGAAATTCGGCAAGTGAATATAATTCCGGTGAAAATTCGTTGTTTTCCCGATGTTTAAATTACATCCTGACTATGTTTTGCTTCTAGCTATGATATAGGTATATAACTTACCCATCATTTGTATTATCAATTTGTGGAATGTGAAAACAATTCGTATTTATGAATCCCTTCTACATTTTCACATATTATGGAATACATCAGACAGGTTGGTGTTATTTGTATCTCGATCATTATATTACTTTGGCACTGGCACATTCCTACATATTCCAGAAGAGCAAACCTGAAATCTGAGTAGATATCATGAGCGAATAATATTTTTATTCGAATTCGTTACAGTCCAAAGGACTAGTTGAGTTTTTATCTAACTTCAATAACTACGAATATTACGAATAGCTGAAAATCAATATTTTCACTGATCTCACTGATTCACCTGTTCACCATAGACAACGAATAAAATGGCCGGAATTTTAATGAATCGACTTTTGACAGTTGACAAGGTTATTTTGCCATAGAAAAATAATAGTATCCTCATTGTATTCTGTATACAGCATGTAAGCTACTTTAAAAGGTATGGTGAAACGAAAGCATTCCACAAATTACATAACAATACTCTGTGATCATAATGTATCTGAACAACCTAGAATCAATACATTACAATATGATCTAATAATATCGATTTCAATATTGATGCAACGTCTCATGAACGTTTCACTTCTTGATATTATGTTGGATACTTCAGAAAGACATTATCGCAATGTTATTTGAACAATATCCCAAAAGTTATATCTGAAAGATATGTTTGTTATGTATCATGTTTAGTGGGTCCCTCTAGGTATAGGTATGCATGTTGTTCTTCGAACATTATAGGGTTTCCCTTTAGTGCGCTCCAAACGATGAAAAAACCATGCAGGGTGTTCTTGAATAGGACTTACATATGGAAGGAGGTTATTTCCTCATATCAGGGCTACAAGTTCTCATGAAGATATGTCCTAATTCTATTCGTTTTCATGGTACAGGCGGGGGTGTTTGAATCGAAAATATTTATCATTATCACTGCGATGGTAATGGTGGTAAGACAATATCAACCGAAATCCATGGCCATTCAAATATACCATAATGATTTTCATCTTGATGGAAAAAATCTCGTTTGGTCAGTCTTAATGTCTTCTCAACTCCCAACTATTTTATTGATTGAACCTCTGTGATAATTCCTTCTGTATTTTTTTCAGGTAAAAAATCATCTAGTAGTTTATTCCTCTTCGGATCCAGCAGAGGAAGTATATTCTCGACTGACTTCGAACTAATTTCAATTATATGGGCAACACACCTCTGTTTTGTAAATATTTTCAACTAGTGTTCATAATTATTGTAAATAGAATTCATGCTCTATTTATTTTCTAATCATTACAATTTCGTTGTGTAAAATCAAAAATATATTTATAATTTAGGTCATTCAGTGTATTTTTTTATGTCCAACTATACATATTGTTCATTTAACATGGATCGGAGGACACCCACCTCTTCCCACGAATTTTCATTTAGCTGTTCAGAGACTCGAGGCCACAATTAAAAAACTCATGAAGGATGAATGTTATTCACAGTATGAGAATGTATTCAATGAGTGGATGTCTGAAGGTATTATTGAGGAAATATCATACGATGAATCTGATATAAAAGGTCATTTTCTACCACACAAACATGTTTTGAAACCTAGTAGTGCTACCACGAAAATAAGACCAGTTTTTGATGCTTCCGCTCACGGAAACGGGTGTCCTCTGAATAGTTGTTTGGAAAAAGGTGCTAACTTGATTGAACATATTCCTTCAATTTTATTCCGTTTCAGAATCAAAAAGGTTGGTGTCATCTCTGATATACGTAAAGCATTCTTGCAGATAGAGTTACAAGAATCGGATCGCAATTTCTTGAAGTTCTTATGGAAAGACAGTGAAGGAAATCTGAAAGTCTATAGGCATTGCCGGGTTGTTTTCGGAGTCACCAGTAGTCCTTTTCTCCTGGGAGCTGTCATTCAACATCACTTGGAGAGAACATTAGAAAGTTCTCGAAGGGGAGATAATACATTCTCTGGTGAGGTGATCGAATAGCTCAAGAGCAGTTTCTACGTTGATGATTGTGTGACGAGTGTCGATAGTGAGATAGAACTGTATCAGTTTATTGAAGAGGCTCGGAAAGTCATGAGTGAAGCTTGTTTTGATCTTAGATGCTGGGAAGTCTTCAGTGGCCTAGCGGAGAGAATGAGGTATCTAGTGTCTTAGGTCTACAATGGAATCGACGAAAGGATAGTTTGTTCATTTGCTCTGATAATTTGAAGAATTTGGAATTCGATGAAGTTACAAAAAGAACATTATTATTTGTTTCTCATAGGATTTTTGACTCTGTAGGATTCACTTGTCCCGTCACTTTATATCCGAAGATATTGATGCAACAAACATGGGAATCCAAGTTATGCTGGGAGGATGAGTTAGATGAGAATATGAAGGTTGATTTTTTGAAATGGGTTGAGAGTCTCTTATTTGAGTGAAATAAAAATTCCCAGATATTTTTCATCATCCTGTACTGGCAGTGCACTTCATGTCAGTGTACATACTTTTTGTGATGCCAGTAAGTTGTCATATGCAGCAGCCTCTTTCTTCAGAATCGAGAGTGAATTGGGTGTAGGGGTGCAACTGATACAAGCTAGGTCTAGGGTTGCCCCAGTGAAAAAGATGACTATACCGCGTCTTGAATTATTAGCTGCTACTATTGGATCTCGTTTGGTTAAATCTATATCGGAATCGTATCCACTTTCCAATGTTGAGTTTTTCTATTGGTCGGACTCTTCGACAGTCTTAGCTTGGATAAAATCTGACGATCAATGGGCTGTTTTTGTTCGAAATAGGGTTGATGAAATTTTGAAACTCACTACAAAGGAACAATGGAGATTCGTTCCAGGTATTATGAATCCTGCTGATTTACCATCTAGAGGGTGTTCCGCGAAGAATTTATTAGAATCTAGATGGTGGGAGGGTCCTGATTGGCTGAAAAGTTCATCTAACCTCTGGCCTAGTAACGTGACCTGCTATGATGATGAGGAAATTGCTAGGGAGAAAAGGAAAACTGTGACGTCTTGTGTAAACCATTCGAGTACTATGGAAATCGATTACTATTTTTCAAGATACAGTAGAGTTATTCGAATGATGAATTGGGTTCGACGTTTCATTTATAATTGTAGGAATCATGGAAAACATCTTTCAGGTGAATTTTCCAGTTTTGAGGTCAGGGAAACGGAGTTTGTGATATTGAAACTGATTCAACGTGAATCCTTTCCGCAAGGAGAACGAGAAAAGTCAATTGTTGGTTTGTGCCGCTATATACATGATTTGGGTATACTGAGGGTGAGGACCAAGTTGACTTATCGTACAGATGATATTGATTTTCGTCATCCAATTCTGCTGCCTGCAAAACACTCTCGTCGTTGATTGATATATTACGCTTAATATATTACGCTTACGCTGGGAAGATGCCCAACCTTATGGGGCAAAACGAGGTCCAAAAAAATCTCACACCTAGATGGCGTACCATAGTTCGAAATCTCACATAGTGGCGGCGATAGTGTCGAACGATGTCGGAGCAATACTTCGTAATTACGAAGAGAATCTATTGGAATGCAGATGGCGTGCGACTTGGAACAATTCAAGGTTGGTAGTTCTACCAACCTTGGAACAATTAAACAATCCATAATCCAGAACGCTTGTATCGAATCCACGATCAATCAGTACGATTCTAACTGATATGGCGGTAAATTCGAATTTGTTAGTGATAGTTGTACTGGATGTGCTTCTAACGAGCGCATCACGGACGTGAGATCATGAAAAAAGTTTATAGAAATCGAATTGGAGTGAATCACAAAATTTAATGTCTCAACAATAAATGCTTCCATTTTTGGCGACTGTGGAATAAACTGGTCAGCGGATATCAATATATAAGCTGCTCATAAATTTGATTGAAATTCACGAACCCGGACCAGTGTTGTCACCTTGTGTGTGTATTTTACCCTAGAACTGAATCTAAATAATGGGTCTGTTTGAGTGGAATTTCATATTTCATTATGTCGAATTACTATATAATTCACTGTCGCAAATCATTTTCTTGTCAGAGCTATGTACAACAATTTTTGACATTTTTATTATTGAAATTACTGATATTTATCACATGAAAAACGTGGAACATTGCGTGACAATTCTACTCCGCTATCAATCCGAAGTATTTTATACTGGTATACAGTGTGTCCCACTTATGCTCACCATGGGTATATCTTTTTAACGGTGAGAGATACGAGGTCGGTTAAATGACACCAAATGTGGAGTTTGTCAAGACCAATTATAATGTGAAAAAATATTTTGATGAAATCTATGCGTTTTTGTTTCATACGCAAAAAACAGATTTTGATCATTTTCTTGTCTCCTCCGTAGCTTCTTTATTTATGAAAATATTCAAATAGGAATTTCACATTCTCATGGCAGTTTTTCAAAGTGATTTCGAAAAAAATATGAAATTTATACCAAGTCTTCTAGAATTTGAGATATCAAGCAGTATCAGCACCAACTTTAGTTTTTCAAATGTTGGTCATAGCTCACTATGACTTAGTTACAAATCACTTTTTTTTTGTCTCACAGATGATATGTCGCAGAAATAGTTTTGTGTTGATAACAACGGAGTTATCGTCATTTATACAAAAACAGAAAAGTATTCGGAAGCCGCCATCTTGAATTTATGAATTTTAACAAAAAAATCATGATCTCCTACCTCAAAAACCCCCACTTACCAATTTTGAATGGAATCGGACAAAATCTTGTCCGCCATCTTGAAGCAGCCATTTTTTTTAATTTCAACAAAAATTCCATAACTCCGATTAACTTGAAATTTGGCAGGTGTTGATAATTTCGGTGACAATACATTATGGAATTTTTGTTGAAATAAAAAAAATGGCTGCTCCAAGATGGCGGACAAGATTTGGTCCGATTCCATTCAAAATTGGTGAGTAAGGGTTTCTGAGGTCGGAGATCATGATTTTCCTGTTAAAATTCATAAATTCAAGATGACGGCTTCCGAATAATTTTTCGTTTTTGTTTAAATGACGATAACTCCGTTGTTATCAACACAAAACTATTACTGCGACATATGATCTGTAATAGAAAAAAAAGTTATTTGTAACTAGGTCATAGTGAGCTATGACCTACATTCGAAAAACTTAAGTTGGTGCTGATATCTCAGATTCTAGAAGAGTTGGTATAAATTTCATATTTTTTTCGAAATCACTTTGAAAAACTGCCATGAGAATGTGAAATTCCTATTTGGATATTTTCATAAATAAAGAAGTTACGGAGGAGACATGAAAATGATCAAAATCTGTTTTTTGCGTATAAAACAAAAACGAATAGATTTTATCAAAATATTTTTTCACATTATACCTAGTTGGCCTTGACAATCTCCACATTTGGTGTCATTTAACCGACCTCGTATCTCTCACCGTTAAAAAGATACCCATGTTGAGCATGGTAAGTGGGACACACTGTATATGATCCGACCTATGTATGGCCGAAACTTGGAGTTCCAATAATTTCCTTTGACTTTTGTGGGGCGGCCGACTCGGTGCGTTTGTCGGCGATAGGGCTGCCAAGCCGTCGTTTGTCGCCCTAACAACACAAGTACATCCTAGGGACTTCCCAGAGACGTCCCTAATTTTATACAAGGACATCCCAGAGATATCCTTTGCCGGGACAGAGTACATACTAGGAACGTCCCAGGGACATCAGCTGGCTGACAAAAAAGCATCCAAGGGATTTCCGTCTGGTACGTCCCTGGGATATCAACCAAGAACGAAGAAAGGATATCCCTAGGAGGTCGCAAGGATATTCCAGGGACATCCCTTCGACAAAAAAAAAGTAGGTCGATCGAGTAGGGTTTGAACCCGGGACCTTTAGCTTATCAGGCACGCACCTTACTCCATTGAATGATATATGCCTTCTGAAGATTTATGTGCCAAACAGATTTTTAAACAGGACTAAACTGCAGAAACCTGAATAAATACAACTTTGTTAGGATTTGAGTATAATTATATTATTATCATTCGTGGATATTTAAAAATGAGGGGCATTATGCATTTACGATTTCTGTTTGCGAAAAATGGTCATTTCTTGAGAAGTTCTGAGACAATTTTCTTTATTTTCATTACAATTATTTACCGGAAAAAAAACAAACATTTTCATAAAAATTCAACTCAATATTTTGATGAAAGTCAATGACTCTGATGTGAATAGATATCGCAGATATTCCAGGGACACGAAAAGGATAACC